TAAGAGAAGATACTAATTACGCAAGACTTCTGGACCCAACTATCAGTATACGAAGGTCAACCGATGCCAACATTGAGTAATGGTTGGCTAGATGCCTTCCAAAGCCGGGAATCAATTCGGAATCGGCTACAAGCTGGTGAAGATGGAAGCACCGGAGTCCGTAAGTGAAGCTATGATTCCTATCCGGCATGCACTCGAAGGGTATCATCTAACAGATATCTTTAACTGTGATGAGACTGCACTTTATTGGAGACGAACCCCTGATCGAAGCCTTGCTACGAAGAATCTATCGAGAAAAAGCAATAAAAATCAAGGATCACAGCATTTTTTGCTGTAACTCCGACGGTTCTGAGAAATTGATTCCGTGGTTTATTGGAGCGGCTCAAAAACCCCGCGCCTTTACTGCCGCTCACATCAATATTAATAACTCTAATCTTCAAAGGAGATCGAATACAAAAGCATGGATGGTTGGCAAGATCTTTGAAGAATGGCTTCGATGGTTTGATAGCCAGATGGTTAATCGCAAGGTGGTGCTTCTTATGGACAATTTCTCTGCGCATGAATCCGTAGTAAAGACTATTAATAATAGTCTTTTACCACTTCAAAACACCTTGATCATCTACATTCCGGCTAATTTAACGAGCCAGTTTCAACCATTAGATTAGGGTATTATCAGAACCTGGAAGGCCTACTGGAAACGCCAGTGGGTAGGATTTATGGTGGCTGAATTTGACGCAGGCCGTGATCCTATTCAATCTACGAATGTGCTTGAAGCATTAAAATGGGGGATTTAGGCCTGGCAATTTGATGTTTCCGCTCAAACTATTGCTAATTGCTTTAATAAGCTATTAACAGAGAAGGGCGAAGACTATCGAATACAGCAGAAGCGGATGAATGAACTTAATGCTGGTTTGGCTAGGCTAAGGCCTATATTACTAGACCCAATGAGCATTGAGAACTTCCTTAATCCTATGGATGAGGTGGTGCACGATGGCATTGAGACTATAGATGATATAGTGCTAGCCCAGTTTACCAGAGATGATGATAATGGTGAAGATACAGATGCAGAAACCATACCTGAAACCCCCCTGGTTCCGATACATGATGCCATTCATGCATTGGAGACGCTTCGTTTATATGAAGAGCAGCAGGATCGGGGCGAAACGCAGTTTATAACTAGCCTGTATAAACACGAGAGGTTAATACAGGATAGGAGATTAAATGCACAAAAGCAGAGGGATATTAGGGGCTATTTCTGTATGTAAACCTGAAATATATATATATATATATGTTACTATAGTGCGATACCTGGTTAGTACGATGGAAAATGGCCAAACCAACTATATCGTACTAAACCGGTTTTACTGTATATTAGTTCTGGTTGTGTGCCGAGCGGGAGCTAACTGAGCGAGGGAATCGCTCCCTACTGGTCAGTCTCTGCGTATCCACTGATCACCTACTGCGACCCGCTGTCACACCCGATCACGGGACTCACCCCTCCCTTCCCCTGAAGGTTCACTGGATGCTCTGATCGGTATGAGGCTTAACTGGATGGACAAAGACCACACTTGATGGGAAACGATAAATTCTTTTCTTCAATTGGCATGGAGAGAGAAAACAAACTAAGTACATGTGTGTTCTGTGATTGACCCCTCTTTGGTCATGTGACAGGCAGAATCTCAGGGCGGACCCAAAGTCTGCACTGTCACTAACCCCGCACCGATGACGGACCCACCTACGGGAGGGCCCGAACCCCTTCCCACAAACATCCAAGAAACCCACTTCAGCTTCTCAGTTGAGGACTTCTAACCACGCTCATCGAATCGACCAACGCTGACCTAGAGGAGGTCAAGCATGATCAGAACATCATCCGAAACCAGAATGAGAAGCTACATGAGGAAGTCCGAGCGCTGCGGGTGCAGGTTGAAACTCTCCCATCCACACCGCCGCGCATATCATCAAGTACTTAGTTCATAGAACTTCGGTCAATTCCCGAAAGTCCTCTTGCTACATACACGATTTGTTTGCTACATTGCATGTTTGCCCTGAAAATTTCAAGTCCATCTAGGAGTCTCATGTACGGGACTCTAGACATCGAGAATCATAGAAAAACTATGGAATCCTCCAAATTTTCAATGTAAATTTGCTCCACCAAACCTGGTCAAATGGACTTGAAAACGGAGATTTACAAAATCTACTATTGGGAATATAGAAATCGAAGCTATTATAATATCCGCTGATGGGGCACGCTGACACTCTGTAAGAGATTTAATTTTGATCACGAAAATCAAAAAGGGTTTAGTGCATACTTAGATAAGCGCTTCAGTATGGAAACCGATCAGAACTCCATGCACATTCCATTTATAAAAATTAAAATTAAAAATTCTAAATGCTAGGGTAACAAAGCCTAGGTGTAGCACTAGTTTCAGGTCTATATAGTTATGGTTGCTGAAAGTCGAAGTCGAGTGCTCCGTACCGGTAGGCACGCATCAATGCCACTGGGTCATGGCTCAGGCCACCACCAACAGCTTGCCACGTCTTCCGCAACTGTGGATCTAACGCCAGGCCCTCAATTTTAGTGGGGAGTCAGCGATCTGCTGATGAGGCAAAACATGGGCCAGATGCCACCAATGATTCTGAGCTACGATGCTTTGACTTTTAGAATTATAGAACCGATAGAAATAATCATCTATAGTTATCTAGTAATAGAGATATCACTGGAACATCATCGATAAAGGTTGAGATTATAACGTTCTAGGAGCTCTCAATTGTTGATGGGGTGTACCATGTACGGACACGCACCAGGGTACGCGGGAGCCCGCATAGCGGACCAATGATCGCGCGCAGAACCGTAGTGAGCCCTCATTACACTTGCGACTAGAGTAGAGGGTATAGAATCTGCAAAAAATTTTATTCTTTGACTACCAAAAGTTATTTTAAATGAGAGAATGGAGAAAGGTTTGTTCATTGTTTCCACCTCTATAAAGTAGAATGGAGAAACATTGCGGAAGGTACTAGACAGCCCAGAAAGTCTGAAGACCATCGCACCCCGTTCTGGTATAAACAGCACTGCCATTCCCTATCCCAACACCATCCCTAGATATAGGCCTCAATCATGACGTTAGATCAAACCCCTAGCAACCTTACGGGCAACCGAGCTAGCGTCGCAGGGACGACGCTGTGACAACTTCTTAAAGTGACAAGAAGAGTCCTTACACCTGTAAACCAGCTGCCAAGTGCCGTCATTGTCCTCAACCGACTCAGCACCCAAGCGGCTAGGCAGCTGACAGTAACAACGATAGTTATTGTCATTTATACCTCGACAGTCATTCCAATAAAATTTATGGCAGTCGAAACATTTGTAGTACCTACGGCCTCCATTACCGTTCTCCTTCTCTTCCTGGACAGAAGCGAGTTTCAGGCGCCGACCACAACATATCTTCCCAGTTGGGAAGTACTGTTCATCTGTCATGTCGCAAGACGTTTGACCCTAACCGATGTCAGCGGTGTTCTTTTCACCAAGGGGACGGGCTTGAAGAAGGCTACCTGGTCCTGAGTGTGTAATGGCTTCCTTTTCCCGACGTTGTACTTCAGAGAATGAAACAGGCAAGGAGGGGGTAGCGCTCCTATATACTTGACCAAGCATTCGTTACTAGTAGGCTTTGCCGATTGGCTGACAGGCTACATCCCACTAATGTCATTCGTTGTCCATTATTGAACACCTGCAGGCGCTTACGATGCCGCACTGCGCTGGCACCAGTGATCGTTCAGAAGCGGGGGTCGACTTGTGAGCCAGGTAGGGGCTAGTTCCAGACAGATGCCATGTGTGCCCGTTTCTATGGCTGGGGAAATGAGTCATAGGGTTTCTTGCATACACGATAGAAGGGTCGACATTGACAGGGATAAGGAAAGTGCGGGCTGACTGGTACAGACGACTTCGTAAATGAAAACGTAAGGCCAGGTAGAAAAAGGGTTGTCAAACTTTGGAGTGTTAGCACGTAGACATGTCAGAATAAAGGGACATAGCCGGGTCGGAGGGAATTGGATAAACCTTCGCATAAATGGTAGACCGACGCGTCTTGTGTTTTGAGTTTTGACGCGTCGCCAAATCACGTGCTCCGGGAAGATGCAAGTGCCATTTCTGTCATCTCTCATATCCATGCCAGGTTAGCCTAGCCGTCCAAACCCTTTCTAGCAATTTATGTGGGCATAAGACTGACTAATACATGCGAATCTATAACTAGTGTCTCCTTCCTCCGGGTGCCCACCAATCCTGGTGCTCCAGGAGCTTCTCATACGGGAGTCACATGACGATGAGGCTAAGGAAGTGCCTCTCTGGCCAAACTGTATTTAGTTAGTCACATGTGTACCCGCTTTGCTTGTAGCTTTGCCCATCTCGTCTTCGCCGTTAGACGTGACGACAAAACTTAGCTGTCCATACTGAACGTTAACCACTGAATTGCTTTTTGGGCGCTCGGCCAGTCCCAAGCTTAAATTCTTTACTTTTATGTCAGCGACAGCTCCTCGTATGTATCACGCCCTACCAGCTCGTCTATGATGGATTCTTCCATCAGGTCCGCGCCGGAGTGGGCAGTGTCGCTTCCTGCTTCGCCTATAAGGGAGGTCCCTCTCGAGGTCCTCCAGGGAAATACAAGGAAGACGATTCTCCTAGGTTACACATCACCTATTAGCGGACCAATCAAAGACCTACACAAAGCTTCGCAGCAGCCGAGCAACAAGGAATGACCTCTCACTTCTCCAAACCCCTCATATGGTACAGCACATAGTAGGTTGGAGGAAGTTCATTAATATTCAGCTTAATGCTAGGGCAAAATTAATTTATTCATTTTTTAGAATATGCCATTTCCTTGAAGTGCTTTCCCTCAATTTAAATTCGTTACAAGCCAGCCCAGTCCTGATTCCTATTACACCTTAATATTAACTACGCAAGGAAGTTCTTTCTGCTCGCGCTATATCTCTGTCGCTGATTTTAATTTAGAATGGCTGAGAAGGATATTTCCTCTCTGATCAATGAGCTGAACTTAGACTCAACTCAGCGGCATCACACATTTATCCAACCTTTGAAAGAGGACGATGTTTATAAGCCGAAGACTCACATAAGGCATCGCAGTCAACCCGGCCGTCGAAGATTACGTGACGACTACACGTCACCCCAGCAGAACCGCACTCCAACCCATCATTCAAGACAAGAGAGGCTGGCTCTTAAAGCCAATAACTCTGCAAATACCACAGAACTATCTTCATCCACGAAGGTCAACTTTGACTCTGCACCAAAATTGGACATACAGAGTGCTTCTGCTGAAGCAATCGCAGCAAATGATCCACCACCATCAAAAGTCAAACCCTCGCATGTCTACATAGTTCAGATCATGTGGCCCTCTGAAGAGGTCGAGGGGGTCTACTATTCATCAAAAAACGCAAATAGCCGAGCCATGGAATACCTCAATACATAACATGGTATCAATGCGAGCGATATATCGGAAAAGCGAGGGCGTTTTGGCCAAGCTACCACGACAAGTAAAGTTGTGAAAAGAATGTGGACGCATACAGGCACTTTGTAGATTCTCACCCGTGATGGGACTCCTTGGATCAGACTCTTGAAGAAACCGGTATACTCCTACCATGTACGATATCTTGACCACGACTTACGACAACCACAACCATGTAGACCTATAAGTGGCACTTTCATCATGATAAAATGCCCTGGCATTCCAAATATTCTATCCGAATTTTCATAAATAGAATAACCATGGAGTTATGGTCCGTTGAATCCGGTCATTTTTGATGCCAAAGTGCTTATCTAAGCATACACTAAACCCTTCTGAATTTCGTGGTCAAAACTAAACCCTTTTTGATTTTCGTGGTCAAAACTAAACCTCTTTCGGAACACGGCATAACTATCTGATAGATTCGATTCCAGGTTCGATTCCTATGCTGACTGGATCTCTCTGCGCCCCTATTCGTATCACTTGAAAAATATTCCTGCCACGTACTATCGCATCAAGAATGCCTACACTAGCTTATTATGGCACTACCATTAGATGTTCTAACGCGAAAAAGAGGACGACCGCGAACATATACATCTACTAAGGCAAAGCAAGTATCGAATGTCACGCAACGGCGGAACCGGCGACAGTCTGCCCGTGCTGTATATCGTGCCCAGCAATTCGACCAGCACTATTCCACCACAGTGCCCCTATCCACTGATATCAATGAACCTCCGTCAATCTATTTTCCTCCCGGGGAACTCTCTATCGCCACTGAGGTTGAGCAACTTCTACCGCCTCTGAGCCCCGACCTTAGACTATGGGAACCACCGATGCCTAAGATCCCGCCGATAGATAATGAGGTGCTACTAGAATCCACGAGTGATATAGCTAACGATCCTGCTCTAGCAATCTCGCCGGACAGTGTATAAGAAGGGACTACCGAAGCTAGTCCTATACGAGGGATAACTGAAATCCCGGTTCAAGCGACCGAGCCGTTTGTGGTTCCACCCCCCGTGCAATCCGAAGACTTGACAACCAACGCGGCTAGCAATATCCATAAATTAGCCTAGCTTCTTACTGACCAGCTTCAACAACACCATGGCTGCTACCGCCAGTGCCATACGCAGCAGGAGAGTGAACATGGCATACAGCATACGGAGCATCTCGGTCTAGGAGAGTATATAGACCGGATTCAGGTAGATGGGGGATACCCAGATGTTCTCAGTGCCGCAACAATGGCTAGACGTGAGGACAACCTCGCAGGAAAGACCAGCGCAGCCCGAAAACGGGAGATCTATACCGGGATAAGTCCGGCCACGCCTGACGCTCGTCCAGTCCACCTCTGCCTTGCCGCCGACTATAAGCCAGAACGCCTAACGGCGGTGACATTTGATATCGATAGTATTGTTGGATTCGCGCACAGCCTAGCAGTGGCCAAACTTAGAGTGCGGTGGAACTCGACTCAGATGCCTGTCTCTGATCTTCGTTCGAGCCTATATCTAAATCCCATTCCTACTGTAACGGAGTGGATCCTGACTCTTCAGAAGTCCTGTCATAGAGACGGGTTATCGCCAGCGTGTCACTGTCGATCACAGAGCGTACCCTGACCGCCACTCTACCCCGCTCCTATCAATGATAAATAGTCCATTCTTGGGGACCGGGAAGTTCCCCAAGAATCAGTCTCTGTACTATTCACATAATACATCTGTTCCGGAGCCATCTTCGTCTTACCTAGTTGACAGGCCCTATCCTGTAAACACTAGAACCCCCCTATACTTTACACCTACACACTATATTAGAAGCAATGGTCGCGCTCATCACGTCCGACGGCCGGTACATAAGATCCCATATTATACATTTAGGCGGTTAGTCGGATTTAAGGATATATCCCTTTACTTCCTATTCCCGCGGCTATACCGGGAGGAGCAGCAATCCAGCCGCCTCCGTGATGATGACTTTCGGATCTGGATAGACTAGATACTCCTCCCTACAATCTACCGCTATCACGATGGTTCGCTTGTCTAGCATTATCCTTCTAGCTTTGACCACAGCCGGCTAAATGCTACGGCCCGGGGTGTTGAGATGCGCTCGTAGCGAATGGATCCAGTCGCTCGGGAGTAGCTTCTATTCTATTTCCTCCCATCAAATGCACTCTCGCTTATATGGGCAAGTATTCTAGAGACCATCGAGAGCGCTGGACTCTAGCAATTCTTGGACGTGACCATCCTCGTCTAAGGTAAAAACCTGAAGACATTGACCAAAGCAAATACGTGGGACGGTATAATGCAAGAGTTTGCCTAGCATTGGGGTAACACGATCGACGAGTCTCATCTCTCCGATCAATTCTACATCGATATTGGGAAAGAGACCTATCCTACTAGGCCCTCATAGGTTGGTGGCGTTGGACTCGACGTATCTAGGCACCGTTCGGACGGAGAGCCCCTTATAAACCAACTAGTGGCACAGACCATCCTCTAGCGGCGATGCTGCTTAGAGTCGTATACTAAGTGGATTAGGCAGTAGTATCCTCCTAAGTCCTCACGTCCAAAGCAGCAGTTTTATCCGATCAGCCTACTCCACGACTCGGGCAGCCTCACACTAGAGACGTATCGAGCCGCCCCGTAGCGGCAGGTAGGCCTTCTCTATACGCAGCTTTATTCGAGCGTTAAGGAGGTTTTCGCGGTAGGGGATGTATACCTATTTACGAACCCGGCCGTAGACACCTTAGCGCTAGACCCCTAGCTACGTAAGACGTGGTAGTATGTCGGAGGAGGTCTTAGTCATGACTAGACTGCGACATCGCCCATGGACGGGCTGGTGGGCATTGCCCATGGGCCTTATGTAAGCGGGCAATGCCCACCGTGGGCATGCCCATGGACGGGCCCTACCCTTAGGGCCTATAGCCCATGGGCGTCGTGGGCGCCCATGGGCCTTTTTAGTAAGCAGAATTCCTTGACCTCGTGACTTGCATTATTTGTGCATTTTAGCTCTGTATTTTTAAGTAATTTGATTACATGTAGACAGCAGTGGCATTGGCATACAGTAGGTTTAACAGGCATTTATTATAGACATACATTCACACTAATACGATACAAATTGATCATCACTAGGTTTGCCACGCTTCCTTGCTTCTCTTAACCCAGGGCGCCTTTGAGTGCCACTCTCATCTCCATAAAGAGGGAGATGAGGACTGCTCTCATCTTCGCTGTCGACTAGCTCACTTCTCTGTCGCTTCCGCGCACTTAGCACTATAGAAGGACAAGGAAGCTGACTCGCCATTACAAACTCGTGCTCGATCAGTCCGACAGGATCATTATCCTCGCAATCCTCACCATCGCTGATTGGTTCAGGCATATCAGTGGTAAGCTCAGCCTCTCTCTGTTCGTCTGCTTCTTATATAGAATCTAAGGACATATCCTCATCGGGTAGATCTTCTATTTCAATGTCGAATTGGGTTCTACACCGGAACATCATGATATCCTGGACTGTCTTCGCACTCAGCCGCCCACGCCGGTAGTGGCAGACATCCCGTGCTGAATTAAAAAGACGTTCAACTCCAGCGCCTGTTGCGGGAATAGAGAGAGTGTCGCGAGCAACACTTGAGAGAATCGGGAATTCATTCTCATATTCCTTCCAGAATTGTAAAGGATCGACTTTTCTCCTTGCTATAATAGGTATAAGTATTCCCGCTCGTAATAATAGTGAATATAACGTACGCTTTTCAAGATATCTAGCGAGTTCGTGCTCTGATGTTGATAGATTGGAGTGAATGTGAGGCCGAAGGTCGAGGAGAGCGTCTAGGTCACTTGTACTGGCTAAGTGACGGTAGGGGGGTTGCTCTCCTCGTAGGGATTGTGTCTGGGTGTGTCTTTGGGCGTAAGGAGCTATGAACTGGCGAAGCGTTTCCTTGTACTGATCACTCCATTTTGTGTCGTTCTCCGACGTACCCCACGCCTTACTTGAGAAGAAGTGAAGCTTATGCTGGGGTGCAAGAATTGTTCCAATCGCGTAGAGACTACCATGGATCTCTTTCGTCTTTGTGTAGTAAGATGAAAGCTTTGCCATCCCAGCATTGAGGGCTTGTAGCATCGCCTTCTTCCAAGGTATGGTTTTCGGAGTGAGTCGTGCGATCGATTCCTCGAAGTGCTCGAAGAGGGCGTTATAAATACCAAAAACATGATGTACCGTTATTTCTTTGGTCTTTGAAAGCACTGTGGTAAAGCGGTAGAAAGGCTCTGTGATATACAGAAGGTAGTCGACCTGCCGCCATTCTGCCTTACTAAGTTTGTATTTCTGGGTCCCAATATTATCACAGTATTCATCGTAGGGCTTGCTAAGGCGTTTCGCACGACGAAGTATTAGGAAGGTTGAATTCCAGCGTGTACGGACATCTTGGATAGGCGCAAGTTTCGTTCTATTGGTCTGGAGACGGAAGAAATCATCGCGACGTTAGGGGCTTGCATTAATGAACACAGTAAGCCCTCGAATCTATATATTTATTAGGTATGTTAAATAATAAAAATAGTAACATACTTACCTTAACAAGGGTTTGTATAATGACTTGTTCACTCTGGGAAGCACGGAGCGATCGAGCTTGGGCTTGGGCTTAGACATCTGAAACATTCCGATCTATAATATCGTTCTAGGGATCGGCCTTCACTGATCCAAGTAGCTCGCGAAGGCTTAGCTGGATAACATGTGCAAGACAAGGGATTCGAACAACCACTGGGCTATTCGGTAGTTCAAGGGAGTCAATAGAGTCTTGAACTGCCTGTACCAAAGTTGTGTTATTTGATGCGTTATCTGATGTAATCGCTAACACGCGATCAGTAATATCAAGCTTCTTAAAGATCTCCATAAGCACTTCACTTAGATTCACACCAGAATGCGCCCTATCAAGTGGTTCGAAACCAAGTAGGAGCTCACGGTAATTCCAGTCTCGGTCGATAAAGTACCCTGTGATCGCCATGAATGCTTGCTGAAAAGGCGATGTCCAGCAGTCAAGGGCGATTAAGAGCTTCGCATCTTTTGGTAAGGTAGCGAGAATTGTATGCTGCTCCTCATCGACCAATTTCTTTAGCCGGCGTTGAGCAGTGCGAGGATGGAGTAAAGTAGGTTCAGCTGGAGCCTTTTGTGCCATTCGAATCAAGGAAGCAAACTGTTTCCTCTTAAGTATCCGGAAAGGTAGGTTTAGACTGGTAAGACATTCAATCTGCTCTCTTTCCCATTCATCATTCGAGAATTTTGAGATATAAGAAGGCTCTAGTGCCTAATGTATAGTAGTGTTAGTTATCTTAAAGGGTATAATCATATAAGACTTACCGATATATGCTGTATAGTCTCTTTAATCGACCGTTGTGTAGACTTGCTTTTACCACCCTTTTGGCATCTACCTGAGGTCATATGCCGCTTTAGTGTGTTAGTGCCGCTTTGCTTCGCGCTTGGATGAGGCAGTGTGGCCCCACAAGTCCGACACATAACCAAAGGTTCGCCTGTAACATAATGTGCTACCTGGTCGAAGTTCTCCCAGACATCCGATGTGTGTTTTGCATCCCATCGTAGCCTTTGTTGTGTCTTAGTATCGCTGCCGCGTACTGTTGTGCGCCACCACTCAATAAACTTTGCTTTAGACGTGTTGTTCATCGCGTCGTAGAGGATAAACTGCTTTCTCCGATCGGGGCCGATACGTTTGAGGGAGCAATTAAGAAGGGCCGGTTGAGTGAACTCAGACTCTATCACTGATATAGAAGTCTGTTGGCTGTTAAAGAGACTAGGATCAATATTTAGATCAAGGTTAGGATCAAATATATCGTCGACGTAGGAGAGGTCTGGTTGGGAGCTCGGAGGAAGCGAAGAGGGCCCTGCGGTATAGGCACTAGGTTGGGACATAGTGAATATAATGTAAGGGACAGTGTAAAGACTAAGGGAGAGTGTATGATATTAACTTACATTAGGCAACTTGCGAGTCGCAAGTTGCGACTATATGAAAAGGGGGTTACTAGTAAAAGGGGTGCTTGTATAGATCTGATATATCATAAATCAAGTGTTGACCCACTATCCTATCCCACGGGGGGGGGGCGAACTCTGGCAGAGTTCGCTGTTAGGGCTTCCGGTTCCCGTCTGCGATTGGCGGAAAAAGAAGTGGGCCCCGCCTGGGTTCAGTCTAACTTGCGACCCAGGGTTCAGGATCCAAATCACCCCCGTTCCGTCTATAAATTTGCATAGTTCTAAGTGAGCATAGATATTATCTCCCATTTCGATCTTAGTCGCGCCGGCGTACTGGTTGTGGAGAACCTGGCGATTGAAAATCGGAGATGTTTTGATGGGGTGCGGGTAAGGAACTTGGCGGGGTTGCGACCGCGGCCTCAGGCATCACTTCCGCAATTAATGGAGGAGCATGGGCCGTCGTATCACCTCAACCATCTCCGTCGACCGGGATCAGGGGAGTTAGTAGATAGATGATTTGGGGGTTGGATCCGATCCCCAGTTACGGTCGGAATGACTTTGAAGTAATTTTACCGTAGACTTTGTGTTGAACATTCACCACATTCACGCACGCACTACTATACATACATCATTATCAGCCGAATCCACTTCCACTTTTAATAATGGAACATCAACTTTTTCACCGGCCGTCGACCGACCCAGTTATCGTCTGCAAACGATGCGAGCATGCTGTGAGACCGCGAGAGGTCTTGAGACATCTTCAATCACCCCACCATCGGCTTCCTATCCCACGGGGGTACCTGCAGTCTTAAAGACTGCAGGTTAGGGTTTTCCCTTTACTATGGGAGGAAAAGTGGGTCCGTCGTTAGACTGCAGGTTCTTTTCGTCGTTAGACTGCGAAGGTCTAGAGGCCTCGGATCGCTCTGAAAATTTAGGAAGTTAAAATGGCATATATGAATTTGCCCCTATTGACATCGGAGTATGCACAGCCCTCTAGTTGTTGAGAAAATGGTGATTGAAAATGCCGGGTTTTTCGAGATGTTTTGATGGGGTGCGGGAATCTGGAGGTGCGACCGGGGCCTGAGGCAGCCACTTGGTCACCACGATAAGATAAGCGGGTCGCATCTTGACTTCATGTAAACTTCGCACCCCTACTGCCGAGGCCTACAGACCTCTGATCAATCTGAAATTTATAGAGGTTATAATATAGATCGCTTTATATATCTTAGCCACTTTTTACACTATATGAATATATATATGTGGGGTGGAGGGTGATCAAAAATGGGAGATGTTTTGATGGGGAGCAAGAAAGGCTTGGCACTACAGCCATACAACACTCCCCATTCCCATTATATGCCATTCATAGGATTCAGCCATTGATTTTTTTCACCACATTCACGTTGCTCACACTATATATAGCATTCAGGTTATTTAGCTATTCCTAAAAATATGCCATTCACACCATATATGCTATTCATGTTGCTTACCACATTCACGTTATTCACCTATTCATGTTATTCACCATATTCACGGTACTCACCCATTCATGTTGCTCAGCTATTCGTGTTGCTTACCACATTCAAGTTATTCACCTATTCATGTTATTCACCATATTCATGTTATTCACCATATTCATGTTATTCACCACATTCATGTTATTCACCACATTCATGTTATTCACCACATTCATGTTATTCACCACATTCATGTTATTCACCACATTCATGTTATTCACCACATTCACGGTACTCACCCATTCATGTTGCTCAGCTATTCGTGTTGCTCAGCTATTCGTGTTGCTTACCACATTCAAGTTATTCAGCCATTCATATTGCTTACCACATTCATGTTATTCACCACATTCACGGTACTCACCTATTCATGTTGCTTAGCTATTCGTGTTGCTTACCACATTCATGTTATTCAGCTATTCCCACCATATATGCCATTTATGTTGCTTAGCCATTCATGTTGCTTAGCCATTCATGTTGCTTAGCCATTCATGTTGCTCACCACATTCACATTGCTCACCACATTCATATTGCTCACCATATTCATATTGCTCACCATATTCATTTTATTCAGCCATTCAACCCATATTAGGCTGAGGGCCCTTCCTAGCTGGCTAGTGGGCTGCTGAGCCTGCCTGGGCCGAGAATAGACTGAAATGGGATCACTGCTATGCCTGGTAGCTAATTAATGCCCTGGGCTGAGCTGAATGCCCTGCCCGGCCGGCCAATGGCGTGTTGAGCCTGTGTGGGCAATGAATGCCGTGCCTGGCTGGCCAATGGCGTGTTAAGCTTGTGTAGGCAGTGAATGCCCTGCCTGGCTGACCAATGGTGTGTTGAGCCTGTGTGGGCAGTCAATGCTCTGTATGGCTGGAAATGGACTGAAATAGGATGACTGCCATGCCTAAATGGGCCGAGGACCCTGCCTATGTGCCTCCGCCTCGTACAGAAATTCAACACACAGATCCTCCACCCCTCATCTTCTCCCTCACACACATCCCCCCACACAGAGATTCAACACACACATCCCTAACGATCTGTATAGGTTATATAGGCAAAGCAAGACTGAAACGGGATGACTGCCCTGCCTAGGTGAGCTGAGGGCCAGCCTATGTGGCTAGTGGCAGCCCTGCATATGTGGGGAATCAGTGGTTGACCTGTCAATCTAAGGCCCGGGCCGAAACGCACTATGTCGATCATCGTATTCTATATATAGTGTGTGCAGGCGGGGTAACGGGGGCTGAAACGATGCCCGGCCTATATTAAAATTCTTCTCACATTAAACTGCCTGCCCTTTCCACTCTGCTTTTCATCTGATTTTCATCTTAGTTATCCTTCACTGTTTGCTTTCATTACTTACCCCCACTACCACAATGGAACATCAGCTTTTTCACCAGCCATCAACCACGCCCGTGATTGTATGTAAGCTATGTGAATATGGTGTTCGACCAAAAGAGGTTTCTCGCCACCTCCAATCTACTAATCATCGGATGCCGAAGCCAAAAGCGCGCCAAATTGCCGAGGCAGTTCAACAATGGGAGCGTGCGGCGGAATGTGATGAATGGCAGCCGCCATTAGCGGTTAATCAGCCCGTTCCTAATTTGCCTGTATATTCAGATGGCATTTTATGCGAGCAAGGCCCGATGTGCCAGTTTGTTGCCCGGTCAATTGGCACTATGCGACAACACTGGCGTGATCATCACAGCTGGGTAGCTCCTACAAACCGGGGCGGTCGTCGGCGGCAGCATACTTCATCAGCTGCGGAGCAACAGATCCAACAATTCACTCGTATCGTCCGATGCCAACGCGCGTTTAACCAGGGGCCAGGGTCCCATTACATCCGCGTTCAAACCCTCGGAGCCGAGGCCATTCCCGGGGCTGATTTGTTAGCAATGTCTGATCATAACAGTGAGGTGATTGATCAGATGGAAAGAGCATATGCCGAAAGAGAGGAGCTCCCCCAGGTGATCGTGGCTAGCCAGCGAGACGAGACGAATCCATGGCTTCGGAGGACCCAATGGGCCGTCTATCTCCAGGGGATCAACCCGCACGACCTAGTGGACTGTGTCCGAGCCCCCGATCCCGAATCTGTTGATCAGACCGAGCAAGCTGCCTATGCAATTTGGAATTCAATGGCCGCTGTGGCTCGCATCAGCCAGTTGATCTGCACCAAAACGAGCCACACAATTCGGTGCGAGGCTGTTCGGACTGAGCGGGATCGCCTGCCACATCAACCACTACAAGCATATATGGATGCTGATAACGTTAAGCGACACACGATCCCGTGGCAGCAGATTCTCATGTTTTTCACGCGCACGCAGGCCCCACACGACTGGGCTAGCCCCCACTATAAGTTGTCAAAACGCCAGCGAGTGGCATGGACCACACTATGGAGACTAGCCCAGCAGGTGACCCATCGTAGGCCAGGGCATAGCAGGCCATTCCAACACAGGCCAGGGCAGGGCAGGCCATTTTAACACAGGCCAGGGCAGGGCAGGCCATTCTAACACAGGCCAGGGCAGTGAAGACCTGAGCAGTTCGGACCAAAGCAGTGTGCATTCAGGAAGTGATTCCGAGGACCAACAGGACCAAATCACTAGCGAATCCCCCTTTCAGCTCACACCCCTTGACTCCGCCTGTCTCGACTTTTGCATTGAGCTGTTAAACCACCGAACTAAGGTCGAGGACTATGAGAGCGCGCTCATCTGCGCTAGCGCGGTGCTTGGACGTGGAGAGGCAGGCTGGGGCACTGCCCAGAGCTATCCTCCAATCTTGTCAAAAGTGATCAAGATTGCTCGGTTTATGGTGGTCCACAAAGCATTAAAGCTAGACCCAACGGCCGAGAAGATGATTCACCAACTAGCTACGCATCAGATGGCTGGCGAATGGGATACAGAGAGTCCGTTAGATTCGCCTGATTTCACGTTTCTAACGCAAACAACGGACGATTGGTTTTACAACGATAACGATGGAGATCAGGGGGCAGCACAGCCATCGCACTTTGTGCAGTTTAGCCAGGGCCACACACAGGGCCACCGCCAACGATCATTCCGGGAGTGGGTGACCGAGATGGTCAGCCAGTTTATGGTCCGCGGCACTAACAGTCCAATGCAGTGGCTGTTAGATCTACGCACCTACGGCTTGAAGATCCATTATAACAGCACCGCCACAGGCCATGTTGGCTGGATGAACCAAGACCAGCTGTTATATCAACAGTACAGTTTCACTATGGGTGACTTCCGCGGCTTTACCCACGCCCTCGTAAGCTCCACACGCCAGATACTACACGAAGAGCTCCTGTTTAGTCAGGCTAGCTCAGTTCCCACGATCCCGTGGCAGGCTATCTATGATGATCCCACCGAGACCGCGCACGGGTGGAGCTTTCTAAAAGACACTCGTACGGTATGGCCTGTGGCCGGTGCCGAATGGATGGTGAATCGGGTCCGAAACGAGAGACCACTCCAGCAGCGTTTCATCGAGTCTAGTGCCGGCCGGCTCCGAATGTCGAATGTGCACAGTTATCTCCAACGGGTAGCCCATTTCCGCGAGAAGCTAGCCATTGCTGTCCACGTCAGCGGAGGCCAGCCTGCACGGGCACCAGAGCTGTTAAGCATTCGGCACTACAATACTGATAGTGGAGGCCACCGGAATGTGTTTGTCGAAGATGGTCTGGTAGCGTTTGTTACGCAGTACCACAAAGGGTTTTATAGTACGAACGACGTGAAGGTTATTCATCGGTATCTACCCCGGGAAGTAGGTGAGCTAGTGGTTTGGTATCTATGGCTAGTGCTGCCGTTTGTGGAGAGATTGGAGGCGTACACACAGAAGGTGCGCGGGGAGGCATCTGATGCTGAGACGACTGGGTACGTTGGATATATATATACCCTCCTCACACACACACCCAACACACCCAACACACAGTTCAACACAGAGATCAACACACAGTTCAACACAGAGATCAAACACACACATATGTATATATGCCCCCCCCTCTCTCACACCCACCCACCCAACACACACATATATACACTAACACATTCACTACCAGCCCCCGTCGACAGGCATATCTATGGTCCCCTGACCCTGGCACCGGCCGGCAGTGGTCCTCGGAGAGACTGAGAGAAGTGCTAAAGCGAGAAACCACCATTGGTTTGAACGGGCACGCCATCAATCTCCATGCATACCGAGACATCGCCATTGGGATCAGCCGACGATTTATGCGGCCATCGAGCATTTTCCCCAATAATGCCCAACAGGACAGTCGGGCCGAGGCATCCCAAGAAGATGACGAAGATGGGATCAATGCCGAGCAATGGATGGGCCATATTGCCGATCTCCAAGCAGCCCATTCATCCCATGTGGCCGGGATGATCTATGGCCGCGGGATCACCGAGCAGCCCGGTACAACGGCCCACCGGCGAGAGATGTTTCGGCTCAGCAGCACCGATTGGCACCGCTTTCTAGGCTTTGTGTCCGCTGATGACGGAGGGGCCGAGAGCGCATTGGGGCTCGCGCAGCCTTCGCCATGGCAAAAAGAAGCTGAGATGAGCCGCACGGAGCGCCGGTGGCAGCTAGCCCAGGCCGCCATCGAGCCTGAGATGCAACGGATGATGGGCAACACCGGGCTACGGCTTCGAGGGGTGCAGGCACCGGCATTAGCTGCCATTCAACAGGGCCAGAGCCCAGTGGTGGCTGTGATGCCCACCGGCGGCGGCAAGAGCCTGCTATTCATGCTACCCGCGTGGATCAGCCCCCGAGGGGTAACGGTGGTCGTTGTGCCGTTAATTGCACTACGGGGTGATCTCGTCCACCGTTGCCGGCAGCTCGGCATCGCATGTGTGGAATGGGAGAGCCGGCGGCCAGCTGATCAAGCATCCATTGTACTGGTCACGCCCGAATCGGCTATTACGGAGGACTTTATGACGTTCTTAAACAGGCAGCGGCTCGGCCATCGGCTAGATCGAATTGTGATTGATGAATGCCACGTTGTGCTAAATGACCAAAGCCAATTCCGGCCTGCTATGGCCCAACTAGGCAGGTTGATTGTGGCCCAGGCCCAGATGATATATCTAACGGCTACGTTGCCCCCGGCAGCCGAGGACCAGCTATTCCGGCGTTTACGGACTACCCGCGAGAAGGCCCATATGTTTCGAGCGCGGACCCATCGGACTAATGTTGCGTACCGGCTCTGGCAACCCAACGTGCCGAGTCGGTACCGAAACGGCTACGATTGGATCGAGCGTCCCGAGATCGTGAGATTCATTCAGGACCGTGTTCGGCGTGCCCGCTGCGCGGCTGGCCGAGTGGTCATTTATGGGCCCACTACTAAGATCGTCGAGCACATTGCCCAGATCGTAGGCAGTGAAGCATACCATAGCCGAGTATTCGATCGTCCGGGCGTGCTAGCCCGATTTCAGGCTGATCCCACCGGCGTGGTGGCCGCAACTAGTGCGCTAGGTATGGGGGTTGATATCCCCAACATCCGGTGTATCATTCACATCGGGGTGCCGCGCAGTCTGCTAGACTACGCGCAAGAGAGTGGGCGAGCGGGCCGGGATGGGGACCGCAGTGAGGCCATTATCATTCAGCCCGAGGGGTTCCAGCGGCCAATATGGGACCAAATCCATGAGGACCCCATCAAGGCTCAGGCGGAGCAGAGCCGGCTAGATCGTTATATATATAACGGAGGGTGTCGACGGGTTATTCTCGATGAGTATCTCGATGGGCATCACAGGCAGTATTGCGGGGATTCTGAAGCCATCGAGCAACGTTGTGATGGCTGTGATCCGGAGTGGCTAGCTAACGAAGAAGAGCTTGAGAGTGAGGTGGCGAGTGAGCTGGCCGTTGGGGGGGGACAGTGATGGGGGCAGTGAGATGGCTAGTGAGAGAAACAGCCCAGCCCAGGGCCCAGCCCCAACATATAGGTCGGAGCCCATGGAAGATATCCAGTACGGTTCAATTGAGGCCAGCCACGATGCCCAAGGACCGAGGCCATTATCGAGCGAGTCGGAGGCCAGTGGCCAGCGCAGTGATAGCGAATCGACTACGTTTCGATCCCAAGTTCGATCCACCAGTCCAATGTATCGGCGGAGTGATGAACCAGGCAGGCACCACTTAGCCGCGCCAGAACGGCCGGTGCAGTCATCAGGGCATTCAGGATCATCATTACCCGCCCAGCTCAGCCATTCAGCCCAGATCAGCCATTCAGCCCAGATCAGCCATTCAGCCCAGATCAGCCATTCAGCCCAGATCAGCCATTCAGCCCAGATCAGCCATTCACGCCCAGCAGCCCAGCCAGGCCATTCAGGCACAGCAGGCCATTCAGGCACAGCAGGCCATTCAGGCACAGCAGCCCATTCAGGCACAGCAGCCCATTCAGGCACAGCAGCCCATTCAGGCACAGCAGCCCATTCAGGCACAGCAGCCCATTCAGCCCAGCTCAGCCATTCAGCCCAGCCAGGCCATTCAGGCCGGCAAGACCCGTTATTACCCGCAAGTTCAGCTCCGTCCATACCAACAGAGGCCGCCCAACGGTTTCAACGCCAGGACCAAGAGAGAGAGGCAGCCCGGGTGAGTTACCAGCAAGCCCGCCAAGAGATCAGTGCCGGGCTCGAGTTTTTACAGCAACAGGCGCAGTTATGGGTCGGACGATGCTGGTTTTGTGCCCAACGCGGGCTTCATGACCAGCATGACTTATACGAGTGCGGGGCACAGGCACAGTCCGGGTACACATCGGCAAAGAGTTGGTGGATTCGTGTGCGGCGGCAGATTAAATATGCGGTATTCGCCGGGTGCTTTGGGTGCGGGATGCCACAGGCGATCTGCGATCGATATATTAGTGGCGGGCAGGGGCAGTGTATGTACCGGGGGCTGTTATTATCGGGGGTGGCAATGATGGTGTACAGCGAGGGCAGTGAGACAATTCAGGAGGCGTGGGCTCAGCGGCTACAAACACAGGGAGTGCAGATAGAGAATGAGGGTGAGCTTGTACGATTTTTGGGATCCCGGTTTGACGGAGATACGGTGCAGCTAGTGCACGAATATATATGGCTTCGAAGGAGGTGGATCGAGTATGGCGAGAGGGTATAGGGCGAGTTCAGATATATATAGGTGAATTCAATAAAGATGTACGGGAGGTATCAGATATATTACTAAGAATTCGGCAATATAGAGAAAAAGGATAGTGTAGAGGGGGAATAGCTTAGGCAGGGCATGAATCACCAACACAGGCTATATAGGACATTAATCGGCCATGGAGGGCATTCATTAGCCATGGAGGGCAGGCATTAGTCAGGCAGGGCTGGCATTAGCCGGGCAGGGCATTCATTACCAACACAGGCCATGCAGAGCATTCAATAGCCATGGAGGGCATTCATTGGCCATGGAGAGCATTCATTGGCCATGGAGAGCATTCATTGGCCAGAGAGAGCATGCATTGGCCAGAGAGAGCATGCATTGGCCAGAGAGAGCATGCATTGGCCAGAGAGCGCATGCATTACCACCACAGGCCATATAGAGCATGCATTGGCCAGAGAGCGCATGCATTACCACCACAGGCCATACAGAGCATGCAGTGGCCAGAGAGAGCATGCATTGGCCAGAGAGAGCATGCATTGGCCAGAGAGAGCATGCATTGGCCAGAGAGAGCATGCATTGGCCATGGAGAGCATGCATTGGCCAGAGAGAGCATTCATTGACCAGAGAGAGCATTCATTGGCCAGGTAGGGCATACAGAGCATGCATTACCAACACAGGCCATGTAGAGCATTCATTAGCTATAGAGAGCATGCAGTGGCCAGAGAGAGCATGCATTGGCCATGGAGAGCATGCATTGGCCAGAGAGAGCATGCATTGGCCAGGTAGGGCATTCATTGGCCATAGAGAGCATTCATTGGCCATGGAGAGCATGCATTGGCCAGAGAGAGCATGCATTACCAACACAGGCCATGTAGAGCATTCATTGGCCATGGAGGGCATTCAATAGCCATGGAGGGTATTCATTGGCCAGAGAGAGCATGCATTACCAACACAGGCCATGCAGGGCATTTATTGACCAGAGAGAGCATGTATTACCAACACAGGCCATGTAGAGCATTTATTGACCATGTAGAGCATTCATTGGCCATAGAGAGCATGTATTGGCCATGCAGAGCATTCATTGACCATGGAGAGCTTTCATTGGCCATGGAGAGCATGCATTGGCCAGAGAGAGCATGTATTGGCTAGAGAGAGCATGCATTACCACCACAGGCCATGTAGAGCATTCATTGGCCATGGAGAGCATGCATTGGCCAGAGAGAGCATGCATTAGCCATAGAGAGCATGCATTGGCCAGAGAGAGCATGCATTAGCCATAGAGAGCATTTATTGGCTAGAGAGCGCATGCATTACCACCATAGGCCATGTAGAGCATTCATTGGCCATAGAGAGCATGTATTGGCCAGAGAGAGCATGCATTGGCCAGAGAGAGCATGCAGTGGCCAGAGAGAGCATGCATTGGCCAGAGAGCGCATGCATTACCACCACAGGCCATACAGAGCATGCAGTGGCCAGAGAGCGCATGCATTAGCCAGAGAGAGCATTCATTGGCCAGAGAGAGCATTTATTAGCCAGACAGGGCATACAGAGCATTCAATAGCCATAGAGAGCATTCATTAGCCAGACAGGGCATACAGAGCATTCAATAGCCATAGAGAGCATTCATTGGTCATAGAGAGCATGCATTAGCCATAGAGAGCATACATTACCAACACAGGCCATGCAGAGCATTCATTGGCCATAGAGGGCATTCATTGCCCGCCCAAATCATCCCATCATTACCACCACAGGTCGATCATTACACCATTCACACCATTTATTTGTAATATAGGCAGGGCATTGATCACCGGCCCAGTCATGCCATATAGGGCAGGCATTACCCACATAGGCGGGGCATTTAGCACAGATATATACAGTATAGCCACCACATTCAGGTAGGGCATTCATTACGCACATAAGCTATGGATTCGTTACCGATATATATAGTATAGCGATCACATTCAGGAAGGGCATTAATCAACCATACAAGGCAGGCATTACCCACATAGGCAGGCCATACATTGATATATATATAAGAATGATCGCATTTAACAAGGGCATTCATTAAAGATATATATAGATCAGACATCACATATAGGAAGGGCAATTATCGGCGGTGGAGTATTACCATACGGAGCATTCATTACCGACATAGGCAGGGCAGTCATTAGCCATACATACCGGGCATTCATTGGCCATATAGGGCATTATTCACCCAGGCAGGGCATTTGTTAGCCATAGAGGGCATTTATTACAGATATATATAGTTTAGACATAGCATACAGGGGGGCATTTATCGGCGGCGGAGTATTACTGGGCATACGGAGCATTCATTACCAACCCAGGCTAGGCAGGCATTACCAACACCGGCTCGGCAGGCATTACCGGCGCAGCTCAGGCATTTCGGGCAGGCATTCCCCATATAGGCAGTACAGGCATCACCGGCCCAGGTCAGCGTTTCACAGCATTTAGGCCCGTCGTTACCAAGCCCGGTCAGGCGGTGTATATATCCGGTTTTATTATTATAAGCTCGCGTAGGCAGGCAAGGATATTAACAGCATTTTACATATATATATAGCTTCGAAGAAAGTACATTGAATATTCGGAGAAAATATCGGCGAATATATATTCATTTATATATAGAGTATATAATATATATATACATTATAACTTCCGGGTAATCATATATCGGAAAGGGTTTAACATCGTGGTTCGGTTAAGGATCGATATACATATAGCGATATATATATAAAAAGGGGATTTAAAAGACGAGAGGAGAGGAATATCAGTAATCGATACGGACTAGTAATAGATAGACGGGTGAGGGTGTTTCATTAAGAGAGGGGTAAAGGTTTGTAATCAGGAGAGGGGTTAGGGATAGTAATAGATTCAGGGGTAAGGGATAGTAGTAAAGAAAGAGAGACGGGATAGTAAGAAGTCAAGAAGATAGAATTATAGTATAGCTCGGGGTAAGGGTTTACAGTATAGCGAGGGGTCAGGGTTATAGATAAAGGGGTAAGGGTTTTAGACGAGGGGTGAGGGTTTTAGATAAGGGGTGAGGGTTATAGTAGTTCCAGGGGTAAGGGTTAACAGTGATAGCGAGGGGTGAGGGTCCGTAGCAGTAAGGGTTGAAGTCGTTACCAAGCCCGGTTAGGCAGTATATATATCAGGGTTAATATTATCGGGCGAGGGTAGTCAGACAAGGGTAAAAATGGTATATTAAATATATATATAGCTTCGAAGGTAGTACATTGAATATTTGGAGAAGATACTGGCGAATATATATTCATTTATATATAGTATATAGATTATATTTACACATTATAAGTTCCGGGTAATAACGTATCGGAAAGGGATTTATAGGATGGTTCGTTTAAGGATCGATAGACATATACGGATATATATATAAGAGGGGATTTAAAAGAGGGGAGGAGATTAAGGAAAGTAATCGATATAGATTAGTAATAAAGAGACGGGTAAGGGATAGTAATCGATTCGGGGGTAAGAGATCATAGTAAAGAAACTAATACGGGATAGTAAGAAGTAAAGAAGATAGAATACGAGGATATTAAGGAGTATAGAATTATAGTATAGCGAGGGGTAAGGGTTTATGGTATAGCGAGGGGTAAGGGTTTATAGTATAGCGAGGGGTCAGGGTTACAGATAAGGGGTGAGGGTTACAGATAAGGGGTAAGGGTTACAGATAAGGGGTGAGGGTTATAGATAAGGGGTAAGGGATAGTAATAGATTAAGGAGTAAGAGATAGTAGTAAAGAGAGGGACCCGGGATAGTAATTCGTAAAGAAGATAGAATACGAGGATATTAAGGAGTATAGAATTATAGTATAGCGAGGGGTAAGGGTTTATAGTATAGCGAGGGGTAAGGGTTTATAGTATAGCGAGGGGTCAGGGTTTTAGATAAGGGGTGAGGGTTATAGTAGTTCCAGGGGTAAGGGTTAACAGCGGTTTTCGAGGTAAGGGTCCGTAGCAGTGTAAGTTCAAGTGGTTACCAAGCGCGGTCAGGCAGCATATATGTCAGGGTTTAATATTATGGGGCGAGGGTAGTCAGGCAAGCGAAAAAATGGTATATTAAATATATATATAGGTTCGAAGGTAGTACATAGTATATAACGAGAAGACAGAGGCGAATAAATATTTAAAGATATGTAGTATATATCATATATCGGTATTATCCGTTCCGGGGAATGATATATCCGAGAAGGATTGATAGGGTAGTTAGGTTTCGGATGGATAGATATAGATATAGAGAGGGATATATAACAGGAGGGGAGATTCATATCAGTGGTAGACATCGATTCGTAATTGATAGAGGGGTAAGGGACAGTAATAAATTTCGGGATGCGGGATAGGAATCAGTAAAGAAGATGGAATATCAGGATATTCAGGGATTTGGAATTATCATATAGCTCGGGGCA